TTATTTGTTTCAGAAGTACAGATCTGTGATTCAACAGTCTTGCACAATTCACAGCGCTCACCGTAGCACATACCCTCCCCAATGTCTATCACCCAGCCACCCCATCCCTCCCACCCCCAACCACTCCAGTAACACTCAGTTTGTTTCCTGAGATTAAGAATTCCTCATATCAGTGAGGTCATGTGATACATGTCTTTCTCTGATTGACTTATTTCACTCAGCATAACACCCTCCAGTTCCATCCACTATTATTATTTTTTTAAGTGAGCTCCACGCTGAGCATGTTGGCCATGGAGCCCAACACGGGGCTCGAACTCACAACTGTAAGATCAAGACCTGAGACGAGATCAAGAGTCAGACGCTCAACTGACTAAGCCACCCAGGCACCTCTCATTTTATTTTTTTATTTTTAGATTTTGTTATTTCTTTATTTCTTTATTTGGTTTTTAACTAATCTCTATATCCAATGTGGGGCTCAAATGTACAACCCTGAGATCAAGAGTTGCATGTTCTACTGACTGAGCCAGCCAGGCACCCCTGCTTCACTGTCATTTTAATGAGGTATCTGAAGTAGAGAAAAAGGTGTGTTCGATGCACCACATTTAACCAGAAGTCTCCTTATTAATAGGTCTTAACATGTATAGATGTAATGAACATATCTTCTAAGTAGAAAAGGCTGAAATATTGTTATAGGCAATTCCAGAAGAATTATAGTACAATAATAGAATAACTATAACTTTTATCGAGTGCTTATATGTGCTAAGCAGTCTTTTAAATGCTTATCTATATTGTATATATTACATATCTTATCCTCACAATAACCCCTTAGATGGGTGTTATGATTCAACCCCCAGCAATCTGACTCCAGAGTCCCTATGTATATAATGCGGTACATCATTTTCTAAGTTATAAGCAATCTTTTCATTTTCAATTTGTCAGATCTCTAGTCAATCCCTATTATTGTTGACTTAAGTGATACCTAAGGTTTTTGATGTAGATTTTGAACATATACAGCCATTATTTGATGTAGCATAGCTAACATCACATTTGATGTATCTATTTGAGGATACATGTTGGAGGTAGAACAGAGTAGTTTATGACAAATTTTAAAGCATAGTCATTTAAACTGGGAAGCCTGGCATGTGTTTGTTTTATAATACAGACAGATGGGCATTTCCTCTTAAAGAAAGCAGTTACCATCTGTAATCTGAGAGGTCAAAGAGAAGCAATTACAAATCCTACATTAGTAACACAAAACTTAAAAGCGCCTGTTTAAATGAAACATGATCTCTGCAAGAGTTTTAACACACTGAAGCACTGATGGCCTTGAACACCCTAATTTAGAGAATTCAACCCCTCATTCTTTGAAAATTTTAGTACCAGGCTCATTATCATTCTCTCCAAGGCTACTTGCTATGCCAACATTACTAACAGTCCTTTGGTAATTCTTTGTGAGATGAATACATATATATCATATATTTCAAACACTCTCAATTCCTTGACCAGCTCTCTTCAGACGATCTTATACCCGCTGCTATCTCAGCAACCCACTCTCATGATTATTCCCTACACCTTGACATTACTGACAACTACAGTCCCACCTCTCATTTTAATTTCAAGCCTCCTACTCTCCAACCCTCTCTTATCTTTTCAGGTTATTCTTTATAGTACCAAAACTCCAACTCTTCTTCAACCTGATCAGAAACACCAGTCTATTCGCCCTACCATTTTTGCACTGTTTCCCACCCCTCTCATAGCCTTACCTCTTACCTCCTCTGAAGTTACAGTGCCTCCTTTGCTTCTACCCTCAGCCACTTCGCCCATCGCTCCCCATCCTACTTGCCTGGCCAAATCTCAGTCCTGGTTAATCCCAAACCACACAAAAGCAATGGAATATGGGTAGCGGAAAATGCACAACCATATTCACTGGTCTGACTGTAAGTTCTTGACCACTCACTCAGGCAAGCCCTTACTAGTGCCTGAAAACCCTACTATGCTTCCCTAGTCAATCTCTCTCCCACAGTCAGACTGCTTTTTCACCTCTCCTCCCTCCACCTTCTCCCAAGCCCCGACCCCGTCAGTTATTGACTACATTAGCTAGAGTAAAGCTAAAAGAGACGCCCCCCCCAAAAGCTCCAACCTAATAGAGAAATTTAGATCTTGCTCACATAATAATTGACGGTGGGGGTTCCAGATCAGCAGGCAGCTCTCCATCGGGGCACCTTCTTTCTTGTGGCTCTGTCAACCCCAGGGGCTTGTAGTCCTCTGCATAATCCAGCCGGCCGAAAGGAAAAATGCATGGAGACACACTGGCCAGAAATGATGTCTGCTCACATTCCACTAACAACAACTTAATACTTGACCATACTCACTGGAAGAAAAGCTGAGAAAAATAGTCTGTGTGCCCAGGAGGAAGGGGAGAAGAGATCTTGACGGACAATTAGCAGTCTGCCAAAATGATTTTGCTTCTTAGTTCACTGAGAAAATAGAAGCAACTAGAAAAGAATTTCTATCAAATCCACAAACCTACTTCCATATGTCCCATATACATGGGGGGGGGTAGGGGATTATATTTCTAGGCTGTCCCTATCACAAAGGAGGAATTTCCAAGCTTTTAATTAGAACAACATGGTCATATGATCATACCACCCAATTACAAAATTCAGACACACTTTCTTTGTGCTCTTTAACCTCTGTGATATTAGATAGGGTCGATAAACACTCCTTCCTGCCCCTGCTTTTGTGAAACTCCAATTTACCTTGCTTTGGTGATTTTGCTTTACCCTGGTTCTTCTCTCACTTCCTCCTTCTTTGCCGGTTTCTCTCATCTAGATTAGATTCCTTCTTTATGTGTTGGCTTCTCTTATCTAGGTTAGAGTTTATCAAACAATGATGTGATACAAATTACTTAGGGTTCTTGTTAAATTGAGGGCACTGATTTAGCATGTTTGAGGGTGAGGGGGCTGAATTTCTACCTTTCTAACCCCCTGGTGATGCCAACGCTGCTGGGCCATTGACCACACTTTTGAGTAGCAAAGTTCTAAAGATGTTCTCCAAGATTCTGCCCTTTGTTTTCTTCTTTTCTCTCACAGTGATAGCACCACTAAGCTGCTAATTTACCAATCTGTTTTCTAGTTCAACCCTCTTTCCTATATTTCAAAGTTTTTATTTCTAACTTCTTAGTATCCACCTCTATCTGGCTGTCAGATTCTTAGTGTCCAAATCTAAATCGATCTCTCAAAAAGTAGTTCCTACTTCTGTCTCTTCTATAACTACCTACACACTCAGAACCTCCACTCTCTTTGATTTTTCGCTTCCACCTTTCATATACGTTCTCATGTTATCCCCTCTTCCTGTAAAACCAATTAATCAATTGCCAAATTTTGTAGATTTTGCTTCCACATCATCTTCCTGCCCTACCTTTAGTTCAGACTCATCATTACCTTTCACCTGGCCTTTTGCGGGTCTATCTGGAGGTTTTCCCACCTCTGATTTCTGTATCCATTCACAGAGAGGCCTTTCTTTCCCCAAACTTTTAAACCACGAAAACTCAAAGTACTGTGTTAAATACAAATTCTCCCACTTGACATAGGGCCCCCCTTTCCCCGTTGTCTCCGCCACTTCTCAACATACCCTGGAATTTAACCATTTACTTTTTCCTGACCATGACTTTCATTGATTGATCTTCATAAACGTTCTCATGCTACCCCTTCTTGCTGTAAAAACACCCCCATCTCCTTCAGGGTCAATTCCAAATGCCTCCCCCTCCATGCTGCCTTTCTTTCCTGATCCCCCAGACAAATACGAGCAGTTTTTTGATCTTCAGTACTCTCTGTGTTTTTCATACGGCACCTATCGTGGTTTGTCTTTTATTAGAACTGTTTTATCTTTATTTTATTCCTTACTCTCCGAAGGTAAGGGTAACATCATTACCGGTCCGTAACCCTGCCGACGTTACTTATGAGAGCTTATGTCTACCGTTAGTTAAATCAAAGTAATTTAGGGAGATACTGTGATCAATGAATGGTAAGCGTACAGAATCTGAAGTGAATACAGCTGGGTTCCGGCTCTGACATTTATTAGCTCTGAGGCTTTGGGTGAGTTACTTGGCTTGTAAAATGAGAATCCTGCTACCTGATGGAGCACCAAGGAAGATAACGCTGAAGTGCTGTGTAACTCTACAGAGAACTGAGCAACGTTGGTTATTTTCCTTACGGAGAGCTGATGCAGTCTTGCTATCGAAATCTTGATTTGCAGGACTATCCCTACTTCACTAATTGGAGGTCGAACCCGGGCCACCAGGTCCCACGGCCCTCTTCCACTCCACGGCCCCCAGACTGCTCTCGGTGACGCAGGTGAGGCCGCCGAACTGCGGGGGGAATGGCCCGGAGCCCTATCCTCTCGGGAGGCTCCCCTCCTTCCACACGCCCAGGGAAAGCCCTTCTTTTCCCGGTAACCCCGAGGACCGCGGCGCCGCCGCCTACGCGAGCCGTTTGGACCCTGCCCGGCCCCCGTAGCTCCCCTTCTCCAGCAGGTGGTTCTGGTCCTCTCCCCCAACTCGGGGCGCGCACGTCACCGGCGAACCTCTACCCACGCGCCAGCGCCGCAACCAACCGAGAAAATAAACAAACCCCCGCGCGCGGCGGCGGGCGCGCCTGGCCCCGCCCCCACCCCCGCCCCGCCCCGCCCCGCTCCGCGGCTCTCACACCGCCCCCTCCGCCGGGACTTCCCTCCCGCCCTCGGCTCGCAGCCGCGCTCTCCCCGCCCCTCACCGCAGCCTGCAGCCGCGCTCCCCGCCGCGGGCCGCCCAGCCTGCCCAGCCCGCCCAGCCCGGCGCCCGTTCGCGGGGCCCGTTAGTGCCCGGCACCCCGCGCGACCCCTGCCCGGCGCGAGCCCGCCCCCGCCCCTTGACCCAGCCTAGTCCCAACGCCCAGTGCGGCCGCCCCGGGAGCCGCGGGAGCGGCGGCGGCGGGGGGAGGAGGGAGAGGAGGGCCGAGCCGGCGGCCGGGGAGGCCCGGTGAGTACACGGAGGGCGGGCCCGCCTCGCGGGGGGCCGCTCCGGCGCCCCTGAGGCGGGGGTGGCGCGTCGGCCGCGCCGCTCGGTGCGCCTCAGGCTCGGCGGTTGGGGACTCGGCCTGAGGCGACTGGCCCCGCTGGTCGGAGCCTCTGGGCAGAGGGAGCGGGAGGGCCGCTCCACGGGAAGGGCCGCGGCCCCGCCGCTCGGCGCAGGGATCGGGGCGGACGAGGGGGACCCGCGCCTCCCCCAGGCCCCGGCGCCCGGGCCGTGGCTGAGCCTCCCGAGACTCCGCGGGGCCCGGGCCCGGGGGCTACGGTGGTGGCGGGGCCGCCGAGTGACAGGTGCCGCCGCCCCCTCCCCGCCGCGGGTATCGCGCTCCCTCGCCGGGAGCCGGGCGCTCGGAAATTTCTGGAGCCACGACCTGACTCGCTGTTTTCTCCCTTTCAGGTTTGGAAGCCGCTTCTCTGCCCGAGTTAGGTCTCGCCCAGTCCTATTTCTTTCTCAGTATACTTTGTGCGAATAAGTTTTGGAGCATTGGTTGACAGCCTATGGGTGAAATTTGGCTTTCATTCATGAATGAGGTATCGTGGATTACTTTTTGAAGAAAGTGCTCCTCCTCCCCGCTAGCTGTTGAAAAGTAAATGAGAAGGGTTTTGAATTTTGTTTCTTGCCGTTATTCTTTGGAGCAGCAGTCTTGCAGAATTTTTGTCAGATCTCTAGCATTTAGGGGGCTTAGTAGATACGGAACAGTCACGACGGAAATGGCTTATTAAATTGTCTTTTCTCTCCAGCTTCTTTTAGATTTTTCATTCTTACCTTAGTCAGATTTTACGGTGGAGTGGGTGCTACGGCTTTCACGGGAGACACTAATGAAAGCTCACCTTTCTTTTACTGAAAAGCCAGTGAAATTTTTTTTTACGTCGTTCAGCATTATCTATTTCTTTATGTAGTAACTGCTTGTGATTGTAACCTGAATCATCAGCTTAATAAATTTGACTTGCAGCTATGAGAGTATAAGAGAAACTTCATGGGAAATTGAAATTGAAAAATTAAAAATACTTAATCTATGGGAATTTAGATTTTGTTTCTCAACAGGTATACTCTACTTGGTATTAGTCAAATCCTCATTAACGGGGGATATTCTTAATTGTCATAAGTGGTTACAACAGACTTATCTGTAAGATACCAATCTAGTGGCTTCACTCTGTAGACTGAGCAAGAACCTGGAAGTTGACCAAAAGAGCATTGGGGCAAATGAAAATACACGTGTTTTTTTTTTTAATGTTATGTTAATCACCATACATCACATCATTAGTTTGTGATGTAGTCTTCTATGATTCATTGGTTGCATATAACACCCAGTGCTCCACGCAGAACGTGCCCTCTTTACTACCCATCACCAGGCTACCCCATCCCCCCGCCGCCCTCCCCTCTAGAACCCTCAGTTTGTTTCTCAGAGTCCATCGTCTCTCATGGTTCGTCTCCCCCTCCGATTTCCCCCCTTCAAAAAATACACGTGTTTTATCCGTAGGAGAATCCTTTAGGTCCTCACTCAGTACCTGCTTGTACTTTTTGCTTAGATTTTTCAGCCCCCAGAAATTAGGTGCAGATTTGATTAGGGAAGTCGTACTTAACTATGAAGAAAAAATGGAATTTAGGACATACCCATTAAATTTATGTGGTTTGTTTGCAGGAAGTGTGTTGGGAGCATGCTTTTGGTATGCACTTGGCAAGTGTTGGTTGTGAACTTTATTGGAAGCCAAAGTGAAAGATACTGTTTAGTTGTGTTACTTGAGGAACATGGAACGTGAAATAATATATTTGCTAAAATTTCACCAGGTACTAAACAACTGATACTCAGTGCCATTTCATTTTATGCCCAATCTGACTTTTTAAATCTAAGTTACATTTCAAGGAGGCCACACTAATTATATCTGCATCATATTAATTTCTTGTTTGATTAGGCTAAACTGGTTGCTCGTGTTAATGGAAGATGACTATCATTTTATTAAAGGAATATATCTGGTTGTTCTTGACTGAGGTATGGCTACTGCTACCATTTCTTGACCCTAGAGAGGTCATAGTCTGGCAGGATGAGGTCATAGTGGCAGTGGTCCTCAGAACCTTGGTGGAAGGGTCCAAGAGTACCAGCCATTTAGAAATCCTGCTGTTTATAGTTTAGGCCATTCATTTTTAGAGTTTACTAAGTACCTGATGTATCCTAATTTTTTTTTTTTTAAAGATTTTATTTATTTATTTGAGAGAGAGAGAATGAGAGATAGAGAGCACGAGAGGGAAGAGGGTCAGAGGGAGAAGCAGACTCCCCGCTGCGCAGGGAGCCCGATGTGGGACTCGATCCCGGGACTCCAGGATCATGACCTGAGCTGAAGGCAGTCGCTTAACCAACTGAGCCACCCAGGCGCCCTATCCTAATTTTTTTAATCAACACTTTAAAACCAGTTATGTTTCTTAAGCAAATATGTTTCCTAAACAACATTAGTTGTGTTGATCACTTAGTAGAATGGCACTTCTAATGAAACAGATTTGAACTAATAATCATTGTTAATTCATATTGGAATTATGAGAATTGAGGATTATCTATAGTGCACTGTGCTTTTTCTTTTGCTGTGCATTCTACTTTAAAGCACATATTTCAATGCATAAATAGCTGTGTACTTGGGGAATATAAATATATTTTTAAAAATTCAATAAATTTATCTTTTGTGTACTTGGTCCTGTGGTTTTGTTAGGGATTGACTTTCAGAATGTTGAAATCATGATTGTAGGTGGCTAGGCACAAGAGTAAACATGATTTTATGGAATCCATTTAATAATAAATATAAAAGTACAGGCATATAACAGAGAAGGGAATGATTAAGTTGAGGGGCAGCTCAGAGAAAGCTTCATAGAGCTGCTAGCCCCTGAGCAGGATTTTGAAGAGTGAATAGAAGTTTTATGTGGAAAAGAGGGAGGGCATTTTAGGCGAAGGCAACAGAAAAAAAGATATGAACAGGTAAAACTAAATGTGTGTTCAGGAAATTTTAAGTAGTTTATTTTGCTATAGTACAATATCTAAGGAAGGACAGTTACTATAGGAAGCCTAACATATGCTATAATATTTGATAAGTCAAATAATTGGATTTTTTGAGTATTGAGTATATACTAAAATGGAGACTTCACTCTAATTTGATATTGCTGTGATTTCAAGTATAGAGGAATTAATATTTTTTACTAATGGTAGTTATTAAGAAATTATAGAATACTGTACTTGTTATGAGCTGTCTGCATATTTACATTTGTGAACTTCTTTGTGTTTCTTGTGCATTTTGACCTGAAACAGTTTTTTTTTACATTTTTAAAATGTTTTTTAGAGAGAGAATACACAAATGTGTGTGTGGGGGGGGGAAGGAATGGGGGAGAGAGAATCTCCAGGAGACTCTGCACTGAATTTGGAGCCTGATGTGGGGCTCAATCCCATGACCCTGAGATCATGACCCTTACCTGAAATCAAGAGTTGGACGTTTAACCAACTGAGCCACCCAGGTGCCCCTAAAACAGTTGTTTTATTTATTTATTTATTTATTTATTTATTTTTAAAGATTTTATTTATTTATTTGGGAGAGAGAGAATGAGAGATAGAGAGCACGAGAGGGAAGAGGGTCAGAGGGAGAAGCAGGCTTCCTGCCGAGCAGGGAGCCCAATGTGGGACTCGATCCCGGGACTCCAGGACTATGACCCGAGCCGAAGGCAGTCGCCCAACCAACTGAGCCACCCAGGTGCCCTAAAACAGTTGTTTTAAAATTATCTTGGGTATTTTCTTTTGTCTTCGACTACTTAAATTAACTTCTAAGTTATTTTTATTTTGTTATTGAAGTGAAATTGGTATATAACACATTAGTTTCAGGTAGACAGCATAATTTTATATTTGCATATACTACAAAGTGATTGTCATCATAGTAAGTCTAGTTATCTACTGTCACCATACAATTAACCCCTTTTACTCTTTTCACCTATCTCCCAACCCCCTTCCCTTCTGGTAACCACCCGTCTGTTCTCTGTATCTGTGAGTTTTATTTGTTCTTTTGTTTTGCTTTTTAGATTTTCTCTTTGTGAATTATTTCATTTAGCATAATGCCCTCAAGGTCCATCCATGTTGTCAGAAATGGCAAGATTTCCTTTTATGTGGCTGAGTCGTATTCCATTGTATGTGTGTATATGTATGTGTATACACACACACACACACACACACACACACACACACCACATTTTCTTTATCCATTCAAACATCAGTGGACACTTAGATTGTTTCCTTATCTTGGCTATTTATAAACAATGCTGCAGTGAACATAGGGGTGCTTATATCTTTTCAAATTAGTGTTTTTGTTTGGGTAAATACCTATTAGTGGAATTGCTGGATCATATAGTAGTTCTAATTTTTTGAGGACCTCCATACTGTTTTTTCATAGTGGCCCACCAACAGTACGAAAGGGTTCCCTTTTCTCTACAACTTCTCCAACACGTTATTTCTTGTCTTTTTTGATAATGGGCATTCTTACAGGTGTGAGATGACATCTTATGGTTTTGATTTTCATTTCCCTGATGATTAGTGATGTTGAGCATTTTTTCATATGCCTCTTGGCCATCTGTATGTCTTCTTTGGAAAAGTGTCATTCAGATCCTGTGCCTGTTTCTTAATTCGATTTTTTTTGTCACTGAGTTGTATGAGTTCTTTATATATTTTGGATAGTAGCTCCTTATCAGATATGTGATTTGTAAATATCTTCTTCCATTCAGTAGGCTGTCTTTCTGTTTGATGATGGTTTTCTTTGCCGTGCAAAAGCTTTTTAATTTGGTGTAGTGCCATTTATTTAATTTTTTAAAGATTATTTATCTGACAGAGAGACACACACACACAGCTAGAGAGGGAACACAAGCAGGGGGGAGTGAGAGAGGGAGAAGGAGGCTCCCCCCATTGTTTATTTTTGCTTTTATTACCATTGCCTTTGGAGTCAGATCTAAAAATATCACCAAGAGTGATGTCAAGTAGCTTACTGCCAATGTTTTCTTTTTATTTCCTTTAAGATTTTATTTATTTATTTGCCAGAGAGAGAGAGAGAGCACATAAGCAGGGGGGAAGCGGCAGGCAGAGGGAGAAGCAGACTCCCTGCTGAGCAAGGAGCCCAATGTGGGACTCGATCCCAGCACCCTGGGATCATGACCTGAGCCGAGGGCAGAGGCTTAACTGAGCTACCCAGGCATCCCAGCTTAGGTTTTCCTATAGGAGTTTTATGGTTTCAGGTCTCACATTTAGGTGTTGAATCCATTTTGAGTTAATTTTTGTGTATGATATAATATGGAGGTTCAGTTTCATTTTGCATACAGCTGTCCAGTTTTTCCAGCACCATTTATTGAAGAGAATGTCCTTTTCCCATTGTATATTTTTTCCTCCTTTGTTGTAAATTAATTAACCATGTTTGGGTGGGTTTTCTGGGCTCTATTCTATTCTATTGGTTTATGTGTCTGTTTTTATGCCAGTACCATACTGTTATTTATTTATTTATTTATTTATTTATTTATTTAT